TTAATTGAGATAATAAAATTATACGATAATAATCGCAACCTCGAGAAAAATAAAAAGTATGATCTATGAAACTTTGGATGCATCGTATTTTATTTAAAATTCTCCGAAATTCTTTCGAAACTTTCGAAACTAACTTTTAAAACTTTCCAGGTCAAAGAAGAAATTATACGATTATATCTCGTATTATTTCATACGATGATCGATAGAACGATTTAAGCCAGACATGAAAGATTTTTATTAAAAGTAAATATATAATAATTTAAGATCCAGAAAAATAAGGAAATGTGAGAGCACATTTCCTAAAATTCGAATGGACGCCATAAAAGCCTGATAACAAAAAAAGAACCTTCCATTTATACAGATTGAAACGTTTAAGCAGTTATTGATGCGGATTGCGATCTAGATATTTACGTTGTTTTTTCGAAAATGGGGACACGTCGTTTCCTTGAACGATAATATCGGGACTATCAAAACATCTCAATTTTTTCACGCATTCTCAGTTTTCTCTTGTCAATTTTGGATTATTCGTGGAAATTTCCAAATGATGGGAAATAATATATGAAGAAATCGTTAGTGTCAGGAATAAATTAATTGATTAGAAATAATTTAATCTATTTAAACTTCGAATTTAATTTTTCAAATTTCGTTTGAATTCGTTTGTTGAAAATTTTCGTAAAATATATATTATGAAGAGAAAATGACTATTTTATTTAAATTTAAATATTGCTAATATTTCAAACTTAAAAATACATTAATATATACGAGAATCTTCAGTATATTTAAAATTGATATTAAAAGATACATTCGCGTTATATTCATATTTACTCAATAATCAATTCACCTTTATCAACTCGATTCTCAGAAAGAAATTTCTCGATAGAAGAATAATTAAATTAATAGAGCTTGAAAATTATTATCTTCTGAAAGTTCATTCTTTTATTTACACTTTTATTTATATATATATATACAATATATATTTTCTTATAATTCTAATTAAACATTAATTAATCGATACTATCTTCAAAGAATGTGGGTTAATAACGAATACCGTTTACAATTCTTTCTTTTCCTTTTTTTTTATTTATTTATTTATTTATTTTTCTTTTCTTTTCTCGTTCAATTCAAGTTCCAGTATTGTGGTTTCTTCATAGAATGTCCCGTTGATCGATCGAATCGCGTTTAGCGACGGAACACTTGTCGTAATGACATCGAGGAATGCTATCGATTCGTCGTACGACACATCAATATCCACACATACACGTACACACACGCGTGCGCGCGTAATCATCAGTCGAACGTGCCACGAGGAGAATATCATCGAAGTTCCCCTCGTCGTAGATTCACAGTTCTACGTTTATTCGTGACAGCTATTGCATAATATTTGTAATATTTATACTTTGGTTATCGATTTTTCAATATTTGCAATGCAAATATTGGCAATATATGAATTCGGATATATGTTGTTCATCTGTTAAGGGACAAGTGTGCAAATATGTTATTATATTTAGAAATGTGTGAGGAGTCGAAGCGAAGAGAAAGTATGCAGGAGAATAAGTGCAGGAGAGCAAAGAGGTGAAAGAATTATGTGATTTTAATTAAATGAATGATTTATAATTCAAGATGAAAAAGTTGAGAATTATTCAGTTAAATAATACAGCTATAAACACAATACTAACAATTATTATAGAACATTAATATAATAATAATATTACAACATTCAAATATTTTAAATATCGGAATTTCGAGTAACACAATATTTTGTGATTAATCTTTTCCTTTCGAATCTTAAACAAATATTGTAATTAAATAATATATAATACAATATATATTATAATAATTATAAATAAAATTGACCGTGAAAAATTATTAATTGTCACACGAGACACCCGCTACGATCCAAATACTGGATTTAACGAGCAAGTCGTCGCTTCACGAATTCCCAGCGTCGCGCCAAAACCACACGAAATTCCAAAATAATTAAATCTTATATTATAGAGGTATAAATTGATGCGTGCAGATTCGTTTCACAGAGCCGCAATATCGTCGGTGAAGAAGGTGTGTTTCTTGGCTTGGGTGAGCGATAATATAATTGAGCGTAATTTTATAGCGGCCGTAAAAGGCGTGTTTCTTCCGGGAGTTGGGCGAAAGAAGGGAAGCGGAAGGGGTCGGAAAATCGCATGCTCGCCTCGGTTTAATTCGCGTTTCAACGATGACAGGCCAGGAAATCGCTCTATGTATTGCATGCACCGCCGCTTCCGGCTTCGTAGTGACTTCGTGTCGTTTCGATCCGTCTTTCTTCCGTGTATTATCTAAACAGTTAACCATGTGGTCGTTTACGCTGTGTCCAATATAATTGTAGATCTTGTGTGTGTTTAATATCTATCGATGTCCAATGTTTGAACTTCGTTTCTCTTTAATCGTGAAAAAATTTGATTTTGTATAAAAGTTGATGGCAACTTGGAAAAGTAATCATAGATAGTTTTGATGACTAATGGATAATTATTAGATAAATTTTTTAATTCGAATATTAATTTAATTTTCTTTAATATATACTTTCAAAAGTTTTGCTATTTATGTGATGGATAATTTGATATATTATTATCAATTATAATTTTTCATTATTGATATTATTTTTGTTGCTGTATATATAACAAAATATTATTTATTCGTTTCATTTTTTCTAAAATTATTCTCATAAAAACTTTCAATAATTAAAATGAACTTTTAACATTGATATAATAATATTTTAAAATTATACAACAGAATGATTATTCTTTCGTATTTCATTCGTAAATTATTTATTATTATTCGTTTATACATTAGATAAATAATTATAAAGTGTAGAGTTTTAAAGTTTATACAAGATCGATCGATTTACGTGATAAAACCGAGTTTCACTGCGAAGTTCCATTGTCCTTGATTAGAACACATGGTTTGTAATCAACAGAGAGATTGTTGAAGTAATTTAGAAGATAGATTTCGAAATACACACGCGAATCTTGTTTCCACTGAATTGTTTAAATTCTTCGTCGTGTAAGTAGTATCGCAAAAGCTCGAATATTTTATTTGAAGCGAAGATGAAAGATAAAAGATGAAGATGAAAGATAAATTTTCGTAATAAATTGTTTTAATTTCATTCGTTTTAACCGTATCACGGGAAAAAATGATTATCGTGTTTAGATAAAAGAAATATTTGAAGAATTTTATAAGAATGTGATATAATTATTTCGATCTTAAATATTGCGTTTATTATTTAAATATTTTATTCAAATTATATGAAAAATTATTGGGAAAAATATCGATTTTCAAAAATGATTTTCCATTCCCTCATATTTTCAAGCAATTCATCATTCGAAAATTTCTCTCTCCTCGATCTGAAAACAAGACACGCCCATAAACTTGTGTATACTCTATTTACATCCAGCAAACAATGAAGAGAAAACAAAATATATATGTTGATAAAAATACGTAGTTGGGAATTAAACAGAATTCAATAACAATTCCATATACGACGTAACTCGAGAATTGTACACATTCAACCCATCGCTTGTTTAAATCATATCTCGTCTCGTTTGAAAATCATGTCGAGTGTCGTGTCCATTAACATCTACACGAAGATAAATATGATTAATTAATCATAATAAATAATTCTACGATGTTCCAAACAATCGCAATTCATTTATCAAACTTCGAATCATTAAATTTTAAAGTTACTCTTTAAAAAAACTGAAAAAAATAAACAAATAAATAAAACCATTGTTTACAAAAATATTCTCATGTCGATTCTCTATACAATTGGAAAAAAAACTCGGAAAAAAACGTTACTCTTTCTCGAATTTCACAATTCTCGTAATCGAAATTTCGTACATTTATGTACGTAAAAAATTAATGAATAAATGAAGAAATTCAATATTCACAAAATTATCAGAATAATCTCGATTCTAATATAGCATAGAGGGAAAAAAATTCTCAAAAAGTATTATTTTTTCTCGAGTTTCACAAGGATGGAAAATATTTATCCTTATCCATTGCTCATTCCGTTCGTCAATCCTCATTCCATTGCTCATCGTTTCGTCAATTCCTTTATTTTTTAAACAATCAGAGGCATTCGAACGTAACCTCAAGATGGAATCGATACTAATGAAAATACGAGCTCCGAGCAATAGCAATTATTCTGCAATTATTCTGCATGCATTTTTCGCATGGATGCTCGACAACCTACACTTTGATTTTATGCACGAAGCGCTCGATGCACACCTGATCACCCTTTAAATAACTTACAATTCGTGTTTTTCTCCCGCCTAAGAAAGATCTCGCCATCCTGATTACTCTGAGTCTCATCGCTGTCATCAATATTTAAATAACGAAATAACAAATAAATAATATAAATAATTTAGAAATGAATTTCCATTAAGCGAATGATAGAACAGATACTACACTACCAAGTATATTTCATCGAGAATGATACGTGGATTAACCTGAGTGGTGATTGAATTTGTGAAATATCTCAATCGAACTTATTATTCAAACATTTTTGTTTTCTGTGAATCAATGGAGAAGAAGATTTCTGTTCTGGCAATCTGACAAAGTTTCGTACCTTTCTATATTTTTCATTCCACATCTACTCGTATCTACTTTCTTTCGACGACCATTCATTCCTTTGATCCTTTGAAACTATTAAATAAAGAAAATCTCTCCACTTATCGTTAATCGTTTCTTTCTCCTCTTCTTCTTCTATTTCTTAATCTCTTGTTGATTTCAATAATCGTATCAAATGAAAAAAAATCTGAATCAAGTGTATATATTGATTCAGTTCCAAAGAAAATAAGGCAAATAGCCTCGTTGATCTTTCTGACGAAGTTCTTAAGTTCGATCATTGACATACACTTTTCAACCGATGAATTATAAATTTAAGCACCATGGAAACTGTGTCAGCGGTGGCTCGGTACGAGCGCGTCTCGTACTAAGCCACGGCAATCCTGTTTGCTCCTGTTTTGCAGATAGAGGCAGCGGCATGAACGCACGAGATTGGTTAAGAAGCGCCATACGCAGAGTGTCGCGCGATCTCGAACGATTCGAAGTAAAGATCGCGGCCGACGATCGCACGAAAACGCAGTGCGTGCGACTCTAGTGTGATACAAAAGAAGACAAAAGTGAAGAGAAATCGATCGAGGACGGAAGACAAGGGGGGACAGTGACGAGATATTACGCGAGATTGGGCGTGCAAGGTGTAATCGAATCCTGTGTGTGAAAACTGTGAACTGTGAGAGAAGAGTGGTGGGGTGAGCAAAGGTGAAAGGAAGGAGGAGAAAAAAAGGATCGACCATGGAGATCGACGACGTGCACGGTGCATCGAGTCGTTCTCGTAATTCCGATACAATCGAGTCGAAGAAAGTTGAATCCACGATTGAATCCACATCTCTCCTTCTCGATTCGAGGAAGTGAGTCTGTGATCGCGCTCCTTCGTTCTTTCCCAGAATCATGAATCGTATCAGGGGTCGTAGACAGGTGGAATATCGCGCGAGGGACGCAAAAGTTTAAGGAGAGAGGAACTTGATGAAAATGGACTCGACGAAGCTGGGCGGGCCAGCCCCAACCAGCCCTAGGGCACACTCGCCGGCCGTGCCGGCTTACGCCTCCACCACGGCGGATGGAAACATCGATTACATAATAGGGGACTACATGGAGAGGCTGGGGACGAGGTTGAACACGTTGGAGAACGAGTTGAGGTACGCGTGGAGGGCGTTGGATCTGCTCAGCCAGGAATACATCAAGATGTGGGAGAGGTTGGAGAAGCTGGAGGGCCTCCTTTACGAGCAACAAACGGTGATCAGCCAATTGATCGAGTTCTACGCGAGCGGAGGGAGCCACGAGACAACGAGCAACGTGGCGGTCGAGGAGACGTTGGCCAATCAACAGAGCACGGTGGGCGAATTGGACGCGATCGCGAAGAGCATAGGCGCCACGATGGGCATAGAGGAAACGAATGCGATTAGGGAGAAATTGGCACAACAGGAGATCGCTAGGATGCACGGGCTAACGCAGGACAGCTCGACTGCCGCGGCTGTAGTTACAGACATGCACAGGAACGTGAGGAACTTGGATACTCTGGAGACTCTCGCCGAAGAGAGTAACATTCCAGACGAGGCGTTCTACAGGAGTCTGAACAACGCTTACAGGGAGGACTTGATCTGCGGCGACACGTCAAGACCCACGTCGCAGCTCGGCATGATATGGGAGGAGGCAGAGGACGAGGACGTGAACGGGAAGAAGGAGATGGAGTCGAGCATGTTCGAGAAGACTGTCGCCGCAAAGGAGAAGGAGCTCGAGTGCGAGTTGACCGCGAAACCGAGCAAGGAGGAGATTCAGGAGGCGGTGACGAAGAAAGAGGACGAGGCGGACGAGGACGAGGGCGAGGTGTTCAGCGCGGCCGATTACAAGAGTTATCGTGGGAACACGCCTTGCGTGAGCGAGCAAGATCTGGCCCAGCTGTCCAGATTGAGCTCGATCGACCAAGTTGCCCTGGAGAAATTGCACGAACTGGACAGGTTGACCAACAAATTACAAAAGGATTCCCAGAATCTGATGGAGCTTCAATCGAAACTGATGGACTCCCCGAAGAGGCAGTACAGTTCCGAGGCCGAGGCAAAATTGGCCGAGGAGGCGAGCAGCATAGACGAGCAATTGAGAAAAATCTATGCCGAAACGGACGTCGACAGCTGGACGTTCTCGAAGAGTCCCGGATCGACGGGTCGATCCATATCTCGAGTCAGCACTGACAGTGGTCTAGCGACCGACGGCGACTTCACGACCAGGTCAATTTCTCCAAGACTGACCTCCACTTCCAGATCTAACCTGGATTCACTCTCGAGCGCCTATACACCGCCCAGACTAGGTAGCTACACGTCCACGGTGCGCGAGAAGAGTCCGGAGCCGGTGATCCAGCTGCCCATAGACGTAGGCAGCTTTGCCAAAGGCTACGCGGAAAACAAGGAGCTGACCGATCTGATGGTCGAGAGTTTCGCGGCTGTCACCTGTGCCTCGCCCACCATCTACAGCACCACCACGGACAAAGTTGCCTCGCCCACCCATTCGGCCGGAAGTGTGCACAGCGTGCACAGCGTGCACAGTGTGCAGAGCCTTCGAACCAGGCAAGACGGCTATTTCGGCAGCGCCGCCCGTCTCAATCTCGAGTTTCAAGAGAGCAGAACGCCCCCGAGCCCGTCGCCGAGCTCGCCGCCTCCACCGGCCCCCCGAGATTCGGCCGAGCCTTTCCTCATGCCGGGCCCCGACCAAAGGGAGACGGACGCGAAACGATCCCAAAGCCCCACGTTCCTGAGAAGCGCGGACAAATTGGTCTCTGTAGAGCAGGGTCGCCTAAGCCCGCGAACTCCTCACTCGCCTAAATCGCCGCGAGTCTCGCCCAAGCACACGGCCAAGCCGAGCGTTGCCAACATAGTCGCGGCCAAGTCCGATTCCGGCCTATCTTCCATGAGCGGATGGAGCAGTTTGGACAAATCGCCGAGCTCGCCGAAGAGCTCGATCGCTAAGATGCTCACCTCGTATTCCATGGATCACGCGAGATCTTTGATTCCAACCACGACCGCGGTGAGGTCCGCAAGCCCCATCCCCCCGCTTCCTGAGACCACTACCACCGCAACGATCATCACCCAGGAACCATTGTACGACACACCCGAGGGAAGGGACGCCACCGCCGCCGTCACCTTCACCGTCACCAGCCATTCTTACACGGTGGCCATGAACCATTTATCAGGTTACACGTCGATCAAGACTACCCCCTCGACCACGAAGGAGGAGTACGGGTTCGTGTTGCCTCAAGCGGCCATCGCGACCACCTGTCAGAGCCCGAAGAAACGAGGTCGGCAACAGGCGTTGCAGCACACGTACGACACCGTGCCGCCCGGAACGACGATCGACTACGTTTACAGGTCGGAACAGCCGGCCATTTATTCCGTGGCGGGTAGCAATCGGCAACAGGCGATCACGAGCGTGTACACGAGCAGCGCGGGTGGTTACGGGCCGAAGACGACAACCGCTTACGGATGGATGGATCAGTTGAATAGCTACGACAATTACACCACTGTCCAGTACACGGAATCGAGCGCCGCGGTTTCGGCCCACCTGAAGAAACCGTTGAGGGGCACAGCATCCACGGACGCTGGTATGACGAACCACGAAGGTTACAAAGCCGCTATGTATCGCACCATGTTTCCAACGGGGAACATCACCGACGCGCTCTCTTATTATCCCACGAGCGCGAATCTGCCGCGGACGGAGACGAACGAAGCTTCGTGGTTGAACTCGATGGAGGATCAGATACCGCACGACTCGACCTCCTCCAGCATCAGATCGTTGACCTCGGACGGTAGCTACGCCCAGAGTCCGTATACGGACAGAAGGTATCCCCAACCACCAGCGTATCAAGCCCACCAATATCACCACACGTACGCTAATCAGAATTATCCGCAAGCTTATCAGCAACAATATCAGCCGTACAGTCAACGATTGACCAGCACCGAAAGCGCACAACTAGCGGACGGATACCAGAGACAATGGCAACGGGAACACCAGTATATACAGGATCACGAGGCCGCGAGAATACCTATCGATCAAGGCCAACATCAACAGACCGAGTATTACGATCCATCGAGCGTGATAGTGTCCCAGTCCGGATACATAAGCATCGCGTCGAACTTAAAGGATCACGAGATCGAGACTGCGAAGGTTAATAAGAAGATAAGGCGTGGCTCGTCGTTGAAAAACGCGATGAGTTCGATGAGCAATTGGTTGCCAGACTTGCACTTGAGCAAGAGGCACAGGAGTCATTCGTTGCCAGGTGGGGTAAGGAGAGAGGATTTGGACATGTCCCAGGAGCAGCAACAGCAACAGCAACAGCAGCAGCAGCAGCAGCAGCAAAGACTTCCTGGTGAGACAGGAGGCGTGGGCAGAGGTCGTGGCAGGGGTCAAGCGGCAAGGAAAAAGAAGAAACACACGTTGGTATCCACCGTGTCCGGAATCCTCCAGAAGGCCAAGAGACGAAGCCATCAATCGCAGTCTCTATCCGATCCTGAACAGTCTGAAACGGAATGGAGCAGCGGCAGGCAGAGTGGCCTGTCCGAAGACGAGGACAGCGTAATGTCGGACGTGAACCAGGAGCCTCCGTTTTTCGCCAAAGTGAAGACGGCCAGCACGAAACGAAAACAGGTGTCCCAACCGATTCCTCAACAGCAACAACCGATCCCCCAATCGTTACCTCAGCAGCAAAAAGATTATATGCAGCAGCAACAGCAGCAGCAACAACAACAACAGCAGCAACAACAACAACAAAATCTGCAGCAACAGCAGCAAGCCCTTCAACAACAGATTCAGCAGCATCAGGAGCAGTTACAGCAGCAAGCTCTCCAAGATAGTTGGGGGAAGGAGAAGGATCAGAAAAAGGAGATGGAGCACGAGATTGGCGAACAGATCAGCGGTTTCGAGGAAGAGACGTCGGGGAAGAGTACGGGTTCCGGTTCGGGTGGCTCGTCCATATTCCAAACTGTGGGAGATATCAAACGATCGACCGGCAGCTCTGACGAGGCCCCTAACGAAAAAGCCCCGAAACTTCCCCCTGTGACGTTGATGGGCGGCGCAAGCATGGAATTCGCTGTATCCAGGGCACTGGGAAAGTATCGTCAGAGACAATCCTCGACAGTGTCCGACGAACAACCACCGAGCGAGGAAGGTAGCACGGAGAAGAAATCCGACGAAGGCACCGTCCAGACTCTCGAGACGAGTTTCGAGTATCCCGAGGACATGTCGGAAAAGAGCGAGAAGAGCGAGAAATCTAGCAGCACGAGGTTGCCGGAATTGGTGACCAGCATATCGGAGGAAGCTCCACCGTCGGAAGGGAGCCCATCCGCGTCGAGCACGAGGGGTCAAACCCCGGCTGGTAGCCGATTCCTACCGCGACATCAACAATCCCTCGAGATTCCGTGGACCGGCTCGAGACAGGGCGAATTGGACGAGGATAACCGAAGTACGCATTCCTATCGAAGCACGTCGAGGGTTTCGTCCAGGCGGCAAAGTACGGAGGATTCGATCGACTCCGAGGACGAGTGGTATAGATACGAGTTGAGAAAGCTGGAAGAGCTCGAGAGACAATCGCAAATAGAGATAGAAATGGGCGAGGTGCTGGTCGAAGAGCCTGAAGAAGTTGAACACTATCAACCGGACGAGACGGTGAAGGAGAAGATGTCGTTCGTGCTGAAAGAATTAAAGTTGAAAGCCAGTAGCAAGGTGAAGGAGGAAAAGGTAAAGGAGGAGAAAGAAGATCTGCGAACGAGTAAAATGAACGGGACGGTGGCGAAGGATCGTCGAGTCGAGGACAAGTATCGAGACGAGAAACCGATTCCAAAACGAAAATCCGCTGAGAGTATCGAGGCGGTGTTTGCAAGAGTCACCGATTATCATACTTGGGCGCATGAGGAGGAAGCCAAGAAAGAGAAACCGGCCATGGAAGAGGGCTCTTCTGGAGAAACCTCTGGTCCTGATAGTCCGGTCCAATCGATGGACGAGGAGGAAGAGGAAGAATTGCCGAAAGATATCGACGAGCAACCGTCGAGGCGAAGTTCCAGCGGCTCGACTTTTCGACACGGAGAAAAGATCCATTCTGGTTCCGAACCGATATCTCGCGAGGGTAGCGTGAGTGTACCGCCTAGCGAGGTCTCTGTTAGCATTCCAGGTGCTTGGGATTCGGAGAGCACTGTTCTTGAAGGTTTGGAGCGAGACGGTGCTGGTAGCGCTGAAACAGCTACTACGGCGACTTTGAGTCTGCCTAAGATTAAAATCGATTCTTCGTCGTGCGGCAGTTCCGACACGACATTGAAGGAGGGCCAGGTAAGTCCTGGTCCACCTGGGTCGAAATGGAAATTGCTGAAAGCGTTGAAGGAGCGAAAGGCGGAGGAGAAGATGAAGGAGGTCGAGGAGGCCTCCAAGGAGACCACCATTTCTCAGGGACCCACGGCAGTGAGTATTATGATAAAGTGAGGACACGAAAATCTTTGTAAGGCGTACTCGAGATTCGGAGATTGGGTGAAATCGTAGAGTTAAGTATTTTAATAAGATTATTTCCACTGTTTCCATCTCGTTAATTGTTTACAGTATTTGAGTTATATTTATTTATAGCAATTTTAGTGTATTCTACGTGTAGGATGTTAATAGCTGATATTTTATATGTTTTGTCTAGATTTTTTTTATTACGAAATACTAATTGTTTATTTAAAAACAATTTTTAATTATATATTTTCTTTTCTGAACAGCTTATTTTTTATCAAACTTCTAATTGAGATATATGTAATCTCTAATTTAATATCTAATTTATATATAATCGTGAAATTATAAATTTCTTAAATATTAATAGATAAAAGAATTAAAAATAAATGAAAGATGCTTTTAACATCCTGCACAAAACAAGAAATCGAGTGAAATAAGTAAATGAAAATGATCTACAATTATCTAATTTCATACTTTGTTGACACAAGACAACTTAGGAATGAAATACGAACCAATTATAATACAGGGAACAACTTATATTACTCGGTTTCTAATGCTACGATAATAACATTTCTTTGAATTACCTGACCAATTCAATAGCGTCGCATGTAACACTGGATACGATTATTGTCACGTCACAGCTCTTTTTCCACTATCGAGTGTCGAGTATGCTGAATGCGTACAAACGGAAAATGTAAAGCATAAAGGGAGGCAACTTACGAATTTAAGAAAGATTTAAACTGTAACCGTGATGCCATCTAGCGTGGCACGATCCAAGTCAATACTAACGATATTAAAACATGGCGGAAGTGAAGCTTTGTCGGACGTGGATCACGCGTTCTCGTGATCCATTCTCGTTTTTGATCGCGAAAAAATCCCGAAAAGTATCGAAAAATCACAAACACGATATAAATAATAAACGATGGTACTAGTCAATTCATCAAGTGCAACGTCAGTGACGCTTGGCCAAGCAATATACTTGTAAGTGATGATAAATTGTGCACAGTTCAAGATCGATTGGTAATGGTGGTCAACGATTCGATCGATTTCGAGTAAGTAATGAAACCAAATATCCATGTGCGACGGATGCATCGACGATAAATAAAGGCTTACATAATTAAAATAGATCATAGGAATAATTAGATGGTGCTTTAATAATCGATACGCTTTAAGGTAGTATTATTAGAAGCCGCGTGCCTGCGCGGTCTGACGAGGATTATTCGCGAAACAAGGCTATAAGTATTATTATTCGGTCAATTAACGTTTCCTATGTACACAGCAGGGAACGATAGTCTTTCATAGGTTCCCAAATATTTCCAATATGGCCGCGCTTTACTGTCAGCGCGACTCATCCTTTCTCGTGGATTCTTTGTCCACGTCTAGGCACATCGACGCACATGCAATTTGATATTATAACATAGCGTGCAAACGAATAAAACGTGTGTATTTATATTTAAGAGAAATTAGACTCGTACTAGAGGAAAATCTTTCCTTATGATATTCGTGTTTAATATTGCAAGTACAAGTCATGAGACTATAATATACGGTTTACGCCGATACACATGGACAGCTTAACCTAATCTTATAGTCGACCATCGAACATAGTATTTAAGAAAATTACATGTATACATCCGTTCATCCTCTTCATCGATTCATATGCTTGTGTTTTGAAAGCAAGAGATTGACATAACCTACAAATTAATCGACTATGGTAGAGCTCGTTTTAGCATTTGTAGGATTGAATCTGATCTGGGCAAGTGATTTTTGCGAATTTAACCTAAGCAAAAATAAAAAACGAGTTTAAATCGAATAAAAGATCGGTGTCAAATTTTGTTCAATATTCTCGAAGCTCGTTTTAAGATTCTATTTCTAAGAATTGATGGATACGAAATAACGATGATTAAAACGAACATTGTTGTATTTCTTCCGAATTAAATCGCTCGAATTTTTCAAATATATCGCGTGCAATGCTCGTACAACGTTAAAAATGGTTTATCGGTGGGAAAAAAAATGGAAAATAGAAATGAAGGAGGTAGATATATAAATAGAGGATGAAGAACAAATCGCGCAGGCACGATTGAGAAGGAATCTCGTGCACATCGAAACGAAATCGCTTCCGAGAAATCGCGCGAAGGAACGAATAGAAGCGAAAGGAAAAATAGATTCATCGGTATTTCGATTCACGTGGAACACGATGGTATTTGTCTGATCGACGATAGATTCGCCAAAAGGCACGGATCCCGTGTTTCGTGCTCGTTTATCGATCGTTTAAATGCGATAAAAGGCACTGCTGACGTAATATCAAACCCTGGATTTTAGATCGGAAATTGCTGTGAAGACATTCCGATTAATAACTTCAATTATTCGGAAGATGGTCAAAATGTATTAATCGATTAATTGGAACATCTTTTTTCAAATTATGATAGAATTTAGACTTTTTCACGCTAAGTTTTAGGAAAAGAATATTTGAATTTTTTTTCAGAAACTTTTTAATATTTTTTAAATGTATTACAAAATTTATTGACAAATAAATGTGTAATAGTAAAAATTTTTGTGAATATAATCGATATCTCTTTTATTTAAAAAATTATTTTAAAATATTTATAATTAGGATCAAAAAATCTTAACTTTAGTCAAGAAAAGTTTAACAATTCAAAACTTTTAAGAATTTCCATCATTAATCTCGAGTTATCAGAATTTTCTTATCAAAGAAAAACAATAGGAATCCTTAAGTACCTTCATTATCACTATTCATTATTTCAAGTTTCATACTAATTACAATTTTCATTCTCGGTTCCCACATATCAATAATTGTCTGCCAAATTATTTTTAATGATTCCCTTTATACGGACGATTAAACATATCTAAACAAAGTACCGTCATAATTTTCCGCTTTTACTTGAAATTATGTATCGAAAGAGTGCACAATAAACGAATCAATTTCACTTAACCAACGTAGTACAAAAGGCGATCTCTTCTCGTCGATCACGTGTTCCTAGGAAGTTTCGTAATATATTCCATTTCATTGAACACGCGAAACTCGATATCACGCCAGATCACGTGACATTACGTGGACAATACACGCTTCCTTCCGTTCCACATTTCCCGCGCGAAATACGAATAAATAAATCGCGAAATTTCACGATTCAACGAATTTGTATTTTCGTTAATTCGAAAGAGAACTCGTCGAGTGAAATTTAATTATTCATCGTAGATTAATCGTGATTAATCGTGATTAATCGTGACCGAAACACTGTTCTTTCCTAATCTTTTCTTTTTTTTTTTTTGTATGTTAGTAGTTCGTATTGTATTTCATTCGTGATCTAAGCTAAGATGAATTTTATCAAAAATACACGATCGAAAATTAATGATCCTCATCGTGTATCTTGTAGTATTCGTAACTAGTGGACATTATATATGCTGATAGTATGATAGAAGATAATTACAGTCGATAGCCAAGCGACGTGATTCGTGGGTGTATTCCTGGATCGAGAATTACGCAATGTGATATTAGATCTTTGGATACTTATTGAGATATCTTGGTAAAAAAAATTGACAAAAAAAAATCGCTTTTGATTTAAAAACAAACTAAATTAAAAAAACTTTTTTAAATTTTCTAATTAAGATATTAATTTTCTAATTAATATCTTAATTTCTTAAGATATTACATTTTAAATTGCAACGAAATTTTTTTTCTAAAATTCCATCTTTTATATAGCAATAATATACATTTATATCATCGAGATTTATATTATCGACACATTTATATTATCGACTTTTAGAAAAGTATAAAGAACACGTTTATTAAAATTTCATCAAAAGACGACATCCCTTTTCTCAAAATATCTCAGAGATCAAAAACGACGGATTCCCACGATCGTTCCATCCTAAAGAGATTATTCCACACATTGTGCGCATATTGTGCACAGAATCCTCGCTAAGCAGCGCGCGTTATCCGGAAACCACACGCCAATAACGGAATCCAATGTCCCATAACATCCGCCCGATTCTCGATCCTCCACGATTATAACCCACGATGTCACACCGCCCGATGTTTCAGGGGTGGGAGAGTAAGATTTTCGCTCGCATACCACCACTTCGTAATCTCGAAACGATCGATATCGCGTATACCGTATAATAACCGTATAACAGTCCGCAATAGTTTTCGCAACGGAACGGAAAAAAACATTGAGCATACAAGACGCGATACAACAACACCGCCGACGATGACCGTGAAAATTCGTACAAGAAAATAATAATAAATACGAATGATCGAGTGTGGGAATGAGAGTGCCACGTCGATCGAATATAATGAACGTGGTAACAACGTGGTGTATAAGATGAAAGCCAATACACACATACATATAAACATGGGCGCGACAGACACGCGTCGTACACACGTCCAAAGTATATGCTTCCGTATCTAAAGACTTCGCAGCCGTATAATACTCTTAATTAAACTAGCAATTAATTGATCGTGCGTACGTAATTTGGTGTTAGTGTATTAGGGGTTGGGTAAGAAATACCGGGCATGTACCTGTTCGCGATCCGGATAGCTTCAGGTGGGATTTCCTACGAGCGCCAGACACGAATAGGTGTGGAACAGTGTTTCTCAATCTTGTCTGGTACTATAATGGAAAGCCTTTGAAAGATTGGATGATGATAATTTTCGCGAAATGATATTCGAATCCTGTGGGATGTAGTTGTAATATGTTGTATTGTTTTGTAATATATTGATTATAAGCTTCTTTCTGTCGAACAACTTGTTGAATAATTATTTTTTTATTCAGTAACCAGTTTTCTTTGGGAATTCTTTAAATGAAAACGAATTGTTTAAACTTATTCGAAATAATTCTACACGATTGTACTTGACTGATCTCATCACAGTCTAAAATACTATAAATTTGCCTATAAATTGATTAGCTGGCAAGCATTAAAAAAATTACATCGACAAATATAAACACGAAACCATT